TTCTTAGCCCCACCATAAAGGCTTCCTATAGGGGACCCAAATAAGGAGTTCAGTGGGAACCAATCAGCTTAATCTTCTTCAGAGGAATTGAAAGAATAAATCCACCCAGGAGCACTGCATTAGAAAGGAATTTTTACCCAAAAAACTTTGTAACTATTAAATAAATATTTACCAAGCTATGAATTACCAGATGGTACCCAAAAGAAATGCCATCAGGCATTTATAGGGAAATGTGACCAGTCCATTGCCCATCCATCGTTGTGGATCTCAGGAAGAGAAGGCACATTGGCACTCGTTGTCTCCCCTCCACCCCTCACTCACCACCAGCACAGACAGGCAATAACACAAACATGAAATGTACCCTCCTTTTCAGCAAACATTAAGAGAAGAAAACTTGAGACAGATAGTTGGATATGTATATATATAATACAGGCATTTCTTATATGTATGTGTATATACATTATAGTAGACCAAATATTTTTATAAGTATACATATATATGTGTGTAAATGTGTATTCAGACACCTATGTGTGTGTGTATACTAGCAGGTTTATTGAAACTCATGTGTAATATGCACACATACCACAGATGTATATACATATAAACATGCATACCTAGGCATGAGGCTATAGGTTCACACTCACATATCCATACAAACAGGTTAATCCAACTTTCTACTTCACATATCTCCCAGATATTTATAGGTACCCAGAAAATTCTTGAGAAAATTTTTCCTTGTGTTTCTGAGGGGTGGAGACAATATATCAGTACTTTTTACAGTGTCTTTTTATACACTAGACCAAAATATGAGGCAACAAGCATTATTATTTATACAGCACTGATTTTAGTTTATGTCATTTAAATATCTATTCATTTAGATAATTTTAATGTCAATACTCTCTGCAAGCATTGGTGAACTTTTTAACAAAGTGGGAAGCTTTCTCTAGAAATAGTGGGGAAAAGGCTAAGAAAGGAAAAAGGAATTGTCATAGAAAGGGCGAACAATGCTACATGTTCAATGAATTATGTCACCGTAATTCCTGCACTCCAAAAGAACAAGAATATTAAAATCTTTGCTCTGTGTGTGCTTATTTTATCCTGGGGAGACCTCTCTCCACCAAATCACCTACATAATACTCAGAATAAGTACAGGCCACCAATTACTCCCACCATGCTCATTTCATGAGACCAATTTAAACTATCTCCGTCATGTGTGTGAATCAGGAAAGCCATCATCCTTTGAAGTGTCCCAAATCATTCTAATTTAGTTACTTATATAGATGTTTTATAGATGAATTATATGGAGAGAATCTATCTGTATAGAGATCAATTTATCTAGATGGATAGATAGAATTAAATTGAATTATTAGCTATACCATATGATTCTTTATATTCAGAAGTAGATCGTTCTACCAAGATCAACTCTTCAATTACCACTTCAATTTTTCGGTCACAGCTACAAACTAGGAGGTGGATAATGACCTTCCAAAAGCCAGGTGGGCCTCTTAGTGCATCTAGCCATTTCAGACATGGTTTCTCCGACCAGACCTGCTTACTCAGGCTGACACAGGTTGCTCTTTCTATTCCCGAAGGTAGAGCTCCTAGCACTTGCTGTGGGAACCAGTTTATAAACTCTAATTTGTAACTGGATGCTTTTCTTTCTTGCCTAATTTCTCTGCTTACCAGATTAAACATTCCTCTGCTTGGCTTGTGCTTATTATAACATGAAAGATATTCAGTGCTCCCCCCACCACCACTTGGTTGTTAACATATCAAAGGTACCATCCCCTGAAGTCCTTGCTGGAATTTCTCCACCTCTGCTTGATCATCACTGAGAAAATGTCTCCATATATTTAACTTCTTCAGGCAATCAATACAAATTTAGTATTAGTTTTTTCTCATTCCTGGTGAAGTCACACAAAAATGAAATCTGGTTTTGATTTTACTCATTGAGTATTTTTTCCATGTAAACCCAGCACTATTGGTCTTTCCCACGATTCTGCCCACCTGCCAGATTTATGTCCAACTAACTTTGCTAGGATTCTGTATTTGCCTAATACCTCTGGACATTCTTAGTCTCTTTCCAAGTCCAATTTGGTTACTTTTATGAAAATATAAATAAAAATATATTTTCAACTGAATAAACCATCATTAAATGAATAAAACAATTGAAGTTGTACCCAGGGAAACACAACCATAATGTAATTCTGTAATTCAGTCTCCCAAGGGAAACTGATCTTTAAACATTTGCTTAGCTCAAATATATTGATTTATACCCTTCCCTTTATCTCTTTCTAGCCAAATTTACAATTGGAATAAACATGTATGCTCACATTATACACAAATGTACACAGACATACCCCCCATATATGGTGATGATAGACACACAGATGGTAAGTAGATAAATGGATAATTATTAATATGGACCTCCCCCACCAGATTTTTATTAGTGCATTAAATAATCAAGTTACATAAATATACCTAATAACTCAGTGATAAAAAACGACCAAAAGATAACTAAGTACACGCTTGATAGTATTTTCCTTTCAGAAAGCCCTACCATCCAAGTTGGATGCCGTTCTTAAACTTCCTGGTATAGTTTCTCCAGCCAGTTTCAACTTAACATGCTCTTGGCCACCTCAGTGAACTAAACCAATTGAATAAATACAATATGGAGAGATAACAGCTTTTGCCAGAATCCAAGGGCATAACTCACTGCCCTCTTTATTCAGCCTTTCAAGAAATGTCACTGAAAAGATAACCTTATTTGTTAAATTAGAACTTTATGATGCAAAAATCAACACTTTAAGAAAAGATTTTAACACTGTTTGAGTGCTCCTTAAAATTCATCAATATGCCTAATAAAGAAATAAACATAGCATAGACATTTTGCAACAAAGCATCCCAAACCAGGTACAAATTTATTACAACACTACCCTGCACATCTCTATTATTTTTAAGTATATTTTACTCAATGACATAGCAAACACAACTCACCTTCACTCCTCCGAAGGATTGCCGGTAAACTGATCAAGAAGTACCCTTGAAATCGATGTGATTGATGAATTGAAACAATAAATTACTTCCAAAGTATAGCTCTGTGTAAAAGTGTCACACACACACATCAGCTATTCAGCCAATTGTCGTATGATAAATATACAGTAGCTGCAGAAGTGTATTAGAAAGTGAGAGTAACCATCTGAAATTTATAAATATTCAAACCTTTACTGAAAGCAGCTTGTATGTGAAATTTAAATGGCATACAGTACACCCAAAAAGGCACCATTCCAAAGTTCTACAAAAAATTATTGTATTTACAGATGACATGAACTAATCAAATACATCCAGCATCATCTGGAAAACTTTCTGGCATGCCATAACTTAATATCACAGTCAATATGCATAACAGAACCCATAATTATTTTTCTAATAATCAAGCCAAAAGCAAAAAAGAAGAAAGTGGAAGCCATAGAAAAATAAAACAGAAGACGACAAAAGGAAGTATCCACAGAAATGTTTATGATACCATCAAAATGACTTAAGAAACCAGTTAAACCCTGGAGATTTTCATTATTAGTATTAATAGAGGCAAGTCCTAACTGTCACTAAAATGCCCTTGTGATTCTATAGATCCCTCTGATGTTTGCTATTCCTCCAAAACTCTCTTCCATTGAAACAAAGATTAATGGAAAAGTACAAGATGTGCAGAAGACTGGGACAATCTCTCCATCGTCATGGGAACAGCAGGATGGAGTGCTAGAGTTCATCTAGCCCAAGCACCAGCTAGATGGGGCCCCTTTTGTCTGTGAGTCATGCCTCATAAACAGCTGCAGAACGCTCGGGCCTCCAGCAAAACCTGCATGCCATGCCATTTCTCTCTTCCTTCACTAACGCCAAACTTTTCCATGATGGAGGTTTCCAGAATGCAAATACAACCTAGGCCTCTCAGATGGATTTAATTTCAATCAACATTCGTGCCAAATGAACATCTTTGGTCTGCAAAATGTCTACACTAGTGAATAATAAAGAATTATTTTTCCCCAGGATAAAACTTCTTCCAGGTGACCAAAGGAAATAGCAGCTCTGTAAATGTTAATATGCCCACTGTGAAGAGGAAGAAGCTGAGAGACAATAATTAAGGGAATCAAATGATCAGAAGAACTGAAATCCATAAAATCTTGGGGAAAGTTTATATTTCATGGTATTTAACCAAGTAAGGCTGTGATAATCCTCCCATGAAAGTATTTCAAAAGTTTACAGCTAAAGACTATGAAAAGCAGGTTTCATCAATACATTTTCACATGCTGAACATGTTGCCAATCTAGTTTTTAAATGAGAATTTTAGAGTCTCAAATAGAAGTATGCACTAAACTAAGGTGCTTGGTTTTTACATATTTTAAATCACATTACGTTAGAGAATTAACTTGCTTGGAGTTCATAAAGATTCGATCTGCATTATACATAATTTGGTTTATAGACTTGCTACTTTTAAATATAGTTTAAGGTTTATGTAAGTGTAAACAACTAAGGGAATAAAAGTAGGTGACCAAACTACTGTTTGAAAGAAAGCACAGTAAGTTCATGTTCATGGTTTGTTTGTTGTGGTCCATTTTAACTGATGACTATGTGGCTTCTGCTAACCAGGACAACTGCTGTCTATTTTTAAATGAGTCATTTGCTCACAAGAGCCAGTGACTGCGTACATGGATATGCACGTGTGCAAAGAAAAAATGAAGTACGTTCTATGACAACATTTGTTTTTTACTCTTAATTATTCTCCAAAGACTCCTTTTTTAAAAATCAGCAGAAATGAACACCAGGAAGGAGATTTTCTGTGAAACGTAGATTTTCCCCCATGTGATGGTGTCAGGCTATGATCAGGCCTTTGCCACCTGCGTGAGCTCTAATGTGTCCCAGGAAAGGAAGACCCATTTGCCTATTTCCTAAAGAGCTAAGTCCTTGACAGCTTTTAGACAAGATGGAAACCTGCTGGTGATCACAGAGATTCTAGGACCTTCTCGTCAGAGGAAATCACAAATAAAATGACTAAATCAAATAGTAACTAAAATTTACATCCATTAATTTTATGCTGGCATCATTGAAACAAAATGGAGAAAAAGAAAGACAGTATTTTCTGTTTAAAAATCTCTCAAGACAATACTTGTGGGCACAGTTGGTTTAGTGATGTATCTGAATGTGCCGTCCAATAATCAGAAATAGCAATCCAGCTAGCAAAGAAAAAAATATCCCAGCTGGGGCCAGAAAAAATGACCAGCCGTACAGAACAGAAGGGGTGAAGTCCAGGCAGTCTCGCATTTTCATGTTTCTGTAGCTTTCCATGTCAGCGACTGCCTGGACCCAGATGACATACAGCACCACCACCAGGGAGAACAGGATGCCTGGGACAGACAAAAGAAAAAAGGAAAAGAAACACTTTAGCCTTTCTGAAGATGTTTTCTGGAAAACGCTACACTAAACCAGTCACTTGCCTGATGATAAGCCTCTACAAATATATTTCTAGGTAAACCAAATACTTACGTCAGACCTTTTATTATGTGCTTCATATTTATCTTTCACTTTCGAAGAATAGCAGCAACCACTGCTATGTATTTATTCTGTTCCTACTGTATGCCAGGCACCGCATTAGGTGCTGGTGAACATTAGAGTCAAAGACCTTAGCCCTTGTAGAGATTACAGTCTAACATTTGTCCCTTTTTCTTTGCTGGTGTTTGGTTCAGGATGAGCACTAACATGTTCTTTCTTTCAATATATACAATAAGCCAGTGGAATAGGTACTAATCTCGTCCCCTGCTTTAAGTAGGCACAGCCACAGTTAGTGGTTTTCAGAGCCGATTTTCAGCTCAGTTTGTTCTGATTCTTATTATATTATCACTCCCAGCTAATCAGTGCTGCAATTGAATATGACCATAAAAATAGAAGCCAAGGTGAGCACCAGAGGAGAACAGAGATAAAAGTACTGAACCAACAGAGAAGAACAGAGATGGTTTTTCAAAACTGAAACATATATGAATTGAGCTGCAATGAATAATCTGGTGCAAATATCCTTTCTGCAAAGTGATTTTTGGTCTTTTAGATATACGCCTAGTAGAGGAATTGCAGGATCCAACAGCAGGTCAATTTTTAGATCCTTGAGTGTTCTCAATTTTTAGATCCCTGAGTGTTCTCCAAACTTCCTTTCAAAAGGAACATATTAGCTTGCATTCCCACCATCAGTACAGAAGTGTTCTCTTTTCTCCCACATCCACGCCAACATCTGTAGTTTTGGGATTTTGTTATGTGTGCTACTCTTACTGGAGTTAGATGGTATCTCAAAGTGGTTTTGATTTGCATTTCTCTGATGATTAAAGAAGATGAACAATTTTCCATATGTCTGTATACCATGCACCTGTATTTGACTTAATAAACTGAAATATATATTTACACACACTGAAGATTGGTCACAGCAAAAGAAAATATTGTTTCAATAAATGAAAAGGGGAGTTGATGATAGAAGATTTTATGGAATATAAAACCACAAGTTTAAGATCAAAAGCCTTATTAAGCAAAGGACAGGAAGACAGAAGGAGGGCTGGGAGGGAGGAAGGAGGAAGGGAGAGAGGGAAGGAAAGAAGGAAGAAAGAATGGAGGGGGGGAAGGAAGGAAGAAGGAAAGGAGGAAGGAAGAGAAAAGAAAAAAATACCTAACCACTAAATAGTAAACATCAGCACAATTTATTGACAATTCCGATGTAACCCTCCAGTTCAAAAATACTGTTGAAGTTAGACAAAGAGTTACAGTGCTGGACCTTTGTTCTTAACAAGTGATATGACGGAAAAGCTTTGTGATCCTGAAATTTTAGAATACCGCTAAGTATATGGTTTTCCGTGTACCTGTTACCATAATTACCAGAGGGAAGAATGCTGTTTTGCTGAATGACAGGCTTCAGTCAGCTAAGCTGAGACACTTAAGGGACAGGTTACACACAAAACCACACAGCCTAAGGGATTCAACTTTGTCCCAAAGCAACATATACTTGAGGCCACTTGCTCTTGGTCCAAATATGCCAAAGACCTATTATACTCATTGAATGAATGAGATGAACCATTTGGTGTAAGATTTCCATAATCTTATTGCTAGTATGTCTGAAAGGCAAACACAACTCTGAGACTAGAAGCAGAGGTTGGAGCCCCCGGCAGAAGAGAGCAGATTTTAAGGACCCAGCCATCGATCCTACTTCTCACATTAATCGTGCTCTTAACAGGGTTTAGGATGCCCCCTCTCTCGAGCCATCGATTTCATAAGTGAATCTTGGGAAGTAAATGCAAAAGAAGAAGAGCTCAGAAGCACAGTGAGTCGCATCAGTATCAGAGCTTAAACCTTCTCCTGATCGTGAGCCAAGCTAGAGAACCATGAGGAATCAACATGGATGCTTCACTAATAAGAAACATCCTTCACGTCGTGTCATGGTCTGTAATGTAAATGCAAATACCGGCTCACGGAATAATACAATGTAGCCAGGGAACAACAAGTTATCACAGAAAAATAGTGAAGTCACGGCCCTCCAGCAAACTCCTTGCAGAGCCGTACCTCAGCTTTTGACAACAATATGGCAATTCCATGTGTTGTCTAGCAACTCTGTGCATTTTAATACATTTTTCAGCAAATATAGAGACCCTGTTCTCTATTAATGTAAAAGTTTGACTTAGGCATTTGCATAATATCTTCCGCCTTATACAAACACCTTGCAAGCCTTTGTATTATTTGTTATTATGGGTTTTATCTTTGCATCCTGTGAATCTCTTGTGCTTTCAGATATTTTTGTGAAAAAAAAAAAGAAGTTGCCTCTGTGAAAAAACAGTAGCCTTAAGTATATTTTTTAAAAAGTTATAAAACCCCTTACTCAATTTCAGGTGTTGATAAAAGGTGTGTTGGAAAGGGTGTTGAAAACAGAGGTAGATGATTCTCAATAAGGAAGAATTAATTTATATTTAAATATTGCCATTATTTCAAGAGGAATTACATCTTGAAAACAATGAAGAATATTAATTTCTATAACTGTAGTCTTTAACTTTCTCACTAATTGAAGACACATTCCATTTAATTTGTATTAAATCTGTTTGTGGTTATATCTCACCATGGGGTAAAACAGTGAGTGCCTCTCTACCCATCAAATTCCCAGTGGGGCGTGTGTGTGTGTGTGTAGAGACAGACAGACAAACAGCTGGAAGGAAAATGAACTAATAAACATGGAAAAACTATGTACGCCAAAGGCCAATGGTTTAGCAGATAAAGCAGTTAGGGTATATCTTTGTGGCCTATAAGTGCCCAAGAGAAGAAACAGGAGGCTGCTACATGCAGGTATGCCAGTCAAATAAATAAACGCATTAAGGCTAATTGGAGTCATTTGTCTCAATAACTTATAAACGGAGTTACAAATTTTGAAGGGAGGAAATTTAGGATGAGTTCTATAGTGTATGATTGGAATTGAATACATCAATGTGAATTAATAAACAGATAATATAGAAATGAAATAGAACTAAAGGTGGGTGTGCATATTTTAAAATATATATATATACACACACACACATAGATTTATTTCCTGGGTCTGTCTCTTGAGAGGCTCTGGAGGCAACACCCCAGGTGCATGGAGCACACCCACTCTGCAGATCTTGAATTTTAAACACCAAGATCCAGAGCTCCTCAAAGAAAAGGTTGAGTCCAGGCTGGGGAGCAAGATATAAGATGAGCCTGGAACATCTTAGTTGTACCAGAAAGTAAAGATGTGCTCAAAGAACAATGGGGGTGTTTTCAGAAACCATCTTGATGGGACTTTCTGTAATGCAAACTGAGGTAATTTGATCACCCAGCCGATAGCGGTACATTATATCTCATTGAATAAAACCCACAGGGATTTATATAAATGCATGAATAGAGAGACATGAAAGTTTTCCTTACAGTAAAAAACTAACTTATAAATGCAGAAGGAATGGAAGAATTAGAAATCACCATTGGACAATTATTTAAAAAATAATTCAGTCAAAAACCAAAATCAGCTGATAAAATTAGTGGATGCAATTTGGATAAGATCGAAGATACTTACATAGGTGCAGTCTTTTCCAGCAAACCACTTACCGATTATAAAGAGGAAAAGAGTAACTTTATATTAAAGAGACCTAGCAAATTCCATCTTAGTCAAGTGATCGAAGTTAACATCACTAGTGACATGACAAATTGATGCCACAGGTCACATCGTGAAATGCAGAAGGGATACAGCACCACTGCCAAGATCTCTCAGCCAAAAATGCAAAGCTTGAATCCAGTCATGAAGAAATAGAAAACAAACCCAAATTCAAGGCTACTCTACAAAAGCTCAGGCTGGTATTTTTCAAAAATTTCAAGGTCATAAAAGTCAAAGACAGACTTATTCTGCTTTAATAAAGACTGAGGTGACACAACAACTAAATACAAAGCATGACCCAGGATCAGGTTCTTATGAGTAGACCAGTTAGAAAAAAAGGTAACAGAGTGTGTGGGTAAAAGGACTCCTGATTTCTATGTAAATGTGAACACATTTCAAAACAAAATAAATAACTCAAAAGAAAAAGTGTGACAAAAATCTTTGGCCATGTGTGTGAGAGATAACATACGGGTACAGAAGGGCTGATGAGGACATGTGTGTTTACCCTGAAAGGTATGTCTTGCTTTGGTGGGATACTGTGATTAATAAACGGGAATATCATTGATTTGGTCCACCCACCAAGTGAAGTGTTTCCTCTGAGGCAATATTATTACTAAGGAAATACTTTAATTATTACCACTTGATACCTTAGTACTTTCATTTATAAAAACATAAACTCGCTTGAGCAGCAAATGCGTTATATTTCAAACCCACTTTCCACAGAGATTTTTAAGGAAGAATACAAAATACTCAGCAGTGCCTAGTGGCTTATTCCTCAAAACCCAGCACTTTGGGAGGCTGAGACAGTAGAATCACTTGAGGCCAGGAGTTCTCTGAGATTACAGAGAACTGTGATGATGACACCACTGCACTCTAGCCTGGGTGACAGCTAGATGCTGTCTCTAAAAAGGAAAAATAAATAAAAGCTAATGTCTCAGAAGTAATTTGTTCTTATAAAATCCATTTTTGAAGTCCAACAAAAAAATGATGAAATAGCTCACCGGGCACAGAATCAAAACATGGGCCCAAAGTCCATGAAGATTTGTGATTATAATAAAACCATGAGCAAATAATTGAGTCATTCTAAGAATCCATCACATTTCTTCTTCTTGGCAGGGTGTGGAAGAATCATTCAAACTTTTCTAATTTTGCATGAATTCTCTCACAAAGTGGAAAACTTCCCCCTTTAAATGTCACGAATTCAAAATGGAAATTATTTTT